TATATTATTATATTTTCTAGATTGTTCATTTAGACCAAAAAAAAAAAATTATTTATTTATACATTGATCTCAAGAAAAAAGAACCTGATATTAAGTATTTAGATTTAGTAGATAAATTGTCAGAAGAAAGTGGTATCGGAATTGGAACAGTTAGAAAAACATTGAGTGAGTATAAGTCTTCTGGCACAGTATCTTCACCAATAAATAAGAAAAGACGATTATCAATCATCGAAAAAGTGGATGATTGTAACAAAAATGAAATTCGTAAGAAAATACATGAATTTTGGTTCAGAAGAAAATTTCCAACCATACAAAAAATAATAAGAGTAGTTAAAAATGACCCTGATCTTCCAAATATTTCACGTACTTCATTTCAGAGGTTATTAAGTGAGATGCAATTTGAGTACACAAAAAGAAGTGTTCTTATTGAAAAAGATGAACTAGTCTTATGGCGGCGCAAATATATTTCAGACATACGGCGTTATCGTCAAGAAGGAAGAACAATATATTATTTAGACGAGACTTGGATCAATTCCAATGATTGTTCGTCTAAATTGTGCGCCGATACATCTGTTAAATTTCAAAAAGATGAATTCCCAAGAGATATACCTACGAGGTCAAGTAATCCTAGGAAAAAAGGTAAGCAACTTATTATTGCTCACATAGGGTCGTCTGAGGGGTTTGTCACAGGTGGTCTTCTGTGTTTTGAAACCAAGAAAAACACAGTTGACTGCCTGGACGAAATGAATGGCGATAAATTTTTCGAATGGTTCTGTAATATATTACCTTTATTAAAAGATGACGCGGTGATAGTTATGGATAATGCACCATACCATTCTGTGAAAAAAGAACAGGCACCTACCATTTATTGCGAAAAAGATGCAATACTTGAATGGCTGAAATCCAAAGGTGTTGTAATTACGGAACCCTATATGCTCAAATTTGAGTTATTACAAAAAGTCCAACAGATAAAACATCAATATGAAAATTACGTTGTAGATGAAGAGGCCAAAAAGTTTAATAAAATCGTACTGCGTTTACCTCCGTATCATTATGAACTCAACCCCATAAAGTTGGCGTTGTCGATTGTAAAAACACATATTAAAGAAAATAACACGACTTTTAGTTTAGATGACATTCAGAAATTATTAAATGATGGCATACAACGAGTGACACGTGAAATGTGGTCTGATTTTATTATCAATACCTTAAAAGAGGAGGATAAATTTTGGCAGGTAGACTTCGTTTCCGACGAGATGTTGGAGAAGTTAAATATGACATCACTTGTTTCATTAACGGCGGCAGAAGAGACGACTTCTGATTTAGAAAACAGTGAATAACGTATTTTTAAACTATAATAGGTATCTTTGTAAATTAATAATTACAATCATATTAATTTAATTTTGTTTAATTTAGTTTTTATATTATTGTACGTATTTGAGTACTTCTATTTTATTGTGATTGTTTTATACTCTTATAATTTATTAGTACATTATATTATTATTATATTTATAGTATTTTGAAATTATTATAATTTAAGCAAAAAATGAAGTCTAATACATATAAGTTTGTATGGTACTATAAAGAATAATACAATACATAAAAACTATATTATGTTAATTGTTATATTACCTATTATGTTTGAGACGTTATCTTATTCAGTTTAAGATTTAAATCGTTTTTTTTTCGTAAATAAAAATGACTGCTAAAAATTAATATTGTTTTGTAAGTATTTATTTATTTTTATAATTATGACGTTTTTAATTTATTTAATTAGGATTTAATTTTAATTTTTTAAACCTGATAATAATAAATTATTTCTTGTTCAATTGTATTCATTTTATTAAATTACACGTATCTGGTCATTTCATGATGGTTTTAATAATAATTGTAAATACAATAAAAGTGAGTGTAGGATTTTGTGTTTGATGAAAAACAATAAGATAAAAATTTAATAAATGTAATATAAAAAAGTAACTGTACATTATTGTACAATATAGGTGATAAAAAATAATTGAAATTGAAATTATTTATTAATTCAATACATAAAATCCCTCCCCTTAACATAATAAATATAAAAATATTATTATAATGTAATACGTCTTTACAACGTATTATGATATTTTTTTGATCATCTGTGTATATAGCGGTGGTTGTCTACTACGAATATTAAGCACATACACGGAAATGGTCATCAATAAATTTTACCAACAAACTTCGTTAGCAAATTAAAAATATTCGGTAATAAAAATTAACTTTTAAAATTCTTTTTTTTTTTATGAATATTTAGCCTGCCGTTATAGTAAACACAAAAGCTTATGGTTTTGAAGTTCGGACAATATAGACCTTTATGTATTTTATAACTATAAATACAACTTAAATTTATATGGTATATAAATTATAAATAGCTTGTGTGCCATTCAACATATAATAAATTAATAATAAGATTAATTTTGTATGGTAAATATTTGCTTCTACAATGTAAACCTCCATATTATGAAAAAAATAGTACAATAACAAAATGGTTTGATCTTTTCATAAAAATGTGACAGCTTTGTAAAATATTTTCGTAATTTGCAAAATATGAAAAAGAAGTTTCTATTTCAAAAAATGGACACCTTTTCATGAAAATAATAATTTTACAAAGTAGCTACAATATATATATATATTTATATGTATATATTATATACATACAATAGAAACTGTAATAACACAGCCCACAGGTTAGAATAATAAACCGGTAATGATAATATATTGAAGATCCTAGCAAAACTCCTATATTGTATGAACTAATTTGTATTGATTATTATGACGCCTGTATAATAAATATACGGATTTTATGATTGTTATTTTTGGTTAACTTGAAAAAATACGTATGAATAATAAATTAATAAGTATGGTTTTTATACAAACTAATATAAATTAAATAGGCATGGAAGGAACTCATGATACGCAGTCGAAATACCAAATATTATGATTAATATAATATTCAATCAATGAGGAACAGCGAAATGTTGACGTCTCAGTATACAATTCGACGAAGGGTGGATGCGCGATAAAAACTAATATACTGTTTAGTGTTTACTACCTATATGATTTATCATGTGTACTAAGATAAACATTTTTTTTCTTAAATTTATTGTAAATTTAAATTTTAGGTAATAATTCATCATTTTTTAAATTTTGTCTTTATATATTAAAGTCACGATTAAGTAATAAAACATTTACATATTAATTGTTATACAAAATAATGTTGATATTAATATAAAATAGAGTTTTTAAATTTTATTTAACATTTCAATTATAATGACTATCGATTATTAAGATTATTTTTTACTAGTCCCTTGAAAGTTATTATAAGTTATAAGTCTTACAACCCATTTTTGTAATATTTTTATATATACCTAATATTGATCAACGGCAAATCTATTTACAGGATAATTAGCCCAGCATACTCACCTCCATTTATTTATTAAATAATGAATTTATTCATTTTTTTTTTTTTTAAAGTTTAAATATACAAAAAGACTATATTTTCAAATTCTTGAGTTTTTTTTCTATTACTTAAATATTATCCTGTAGCGATACAAATTTTCGTTTTTAAAATGAGAACTCTCAATTTTTTAATGTAAATTATTCAGTGAATAATTTATTAATCAACTTAACCTAATTTAAAATTCAAACAAGCAGATTTTTATATATTAAAATTTACTTATGATTAAAATCCTTAAAAATGGTTTTATAAAATTATAAATTAGATATAATATTGGATCTAGTGTTAATTATACTCAAACCACTTTTAAAAATAATAAATGTTGATTGGTTAATGCGAATTAATACAATTTTAAAATCATCATTGGGTTCATGACACGATGGCACACACAATTTGCAATGATTGCGACGACGTGAAACAGCACGTACGTGCTTGAAAAAAAAACGGGTGGTTATAAACGGCACGGACCAAGTTATAGAAAAGGTACGATACCATTAACGATTGAAATTCATTGTTCGGTAAAATAGTATATAAACGAGCAACAAACCGGCGGGGAAATGAGACGTAGTTTAACTTTCATGGTGCTACAGCGGTACGGTTGTATGCGGCTTTGGTGGTAGGTAGAATGACGAGAAAAAAAGCTCTCGGAAGTTAGATTACCATCACGTCACACTTTCCTTATGAAAATCGACCGTTGTCGACGAAATACCACAAGTAAAGTCGACAGTTCCAAACGAACTTTTTCACGAAAAGCTATGCTATATATTTATAAACAAAAAACACACAGAAATAGTAACAACGTTTGAATTGATCAAATACAGATGAACAAAAAATATAAATGAATAATAAAATACATAGGTACCTACATAATTCCTTTTATATTTACATCAGCTAGATCAACCGCAGACGACCAATCATATAACATGTCGATTTATTGAATTATCATCGTTGAAGAATATGTGAGAAATATATGCTTATGTCCCAATATGGTTAAAATAACATAAAAACTAATTATAGACGATGAGAACATATCAATAAGTATAGCTAGTAAAAGTTACAATTGCAATTAAATATTTTAATATCCACAGTATTTACCAAATATGTACACTGCATAGTAATCGAAAAACCAATCAACACCGGTGTATGACACCACTAGATGTTGCAGTTATAGGTCACGAGGAGACAAGTGCGTATGACGGAAACGTACTGATGTAGACGAATTTTTGTGCTCGAACAAGTTTAGATTGCACTGATAAGAGTCTGGTTGATTGAACACGGACATATCGCACAAGAGGTGCCGTGATGATAAATTACTACACTGATCCGTCTTCGCCGTAATTTGAAGACACTGAAACGTCAATGACTCGGAAGAAGACGAACCTGTCGGAATCGTTTATCGACACGATGGGAACACGTCAACCCGTCAAAATGTAACCGTGTAAAAAAAAAAAAAAAAACAGGTAATGCCCAAAAACTACAGTTAAATCAAAAAAGATGTTTCAAGAACAATTTTTTTTAAAAAAAACAGACTTAAACTTGACATTTACCTTACTGGTGGGAAGTATCTAAGTGTGTCAAAGACAACACCGCCTAAAACGCGATGGTGATGGACCCGTCCACGTTCAGCTGCAAGACTTAAAGTGTAGCGATATGTCGGTAGACATTCCTAGTGGCCGATAAACGTAAGAGTAAAGAAACGCACCGCAACGCATTGCTCGAGTCGACAAAAAATAAACGTATACGAACGGATGAAAATTCGTCGGCACATCAGTGCAGCTCACCGTCAAATCTGGGCCCTTGCGGCGCAAGACGAACGCGACAGGGAACAGCGCGGCCGAACGGGCTGGACGATTCGACGACACGACGGTCGAGGCGAACGCGAAACAAAACATACGACTTGCGCGCGCCGCGAGATAACAGTCGACGGTCGCGATTTTGACGGTTGACATGACAGACGTGACCGACACGTGACATCGCACGATACACTGTGACCGCGTCAGGGCAGCGACAGGCGCGGACGGTAATTGAACGCGTGAGCGGCGCAGACCGACGTAACCGTTTACAAATCCGTTACTGTTGTCCGCGAACGATGACGCTGGGCGAACGCTATAACAATAAACAATTGACCTGCAACGACCGCCGCCTGTACTCCGGGTGACGCGTGTGCAAACGGTATTCCAAGCAGTGCACCGAGTACCGACCCGGTATCATCACGGAGCGCGGCTTGTCGACTACTCACCCGACCGTATACACACGAGTGTGTAACACGTATGATGCACGTCAATCGTACGTACGACAATACATGCAAGCTAATAGATAGAATAACACTATTGGAATTTAAATACAATAAGTAAGTCGTTAAACATTCAATAATAACCAACTAAATAACAGAAAAACGTTTATTTAAATAAAAAAAAATTTGCCGAAGCTAACATAGTATTATAATATAATTATATTTTATACTGCCGGTCATGTTAAGCGCAACACAATAGACGGCGGAGAATCTTCTTTGTACATACCTACTCTTCCAAACCAAACGGCGTTTATTTTTAGTAGCGTGCACGGTGCACCAAAATCTCAGTCTCCGCATTTGTTAAAGAAATGGAATCATCTACCGAAATTTGGGTGCCAGAGCACTCTACTTCGATTGCCATAGGTGGCAAGTTCAATGCAATGTTTGGCATAGAATAATATCGCCTAAATGGTGGACTAAGATTTGACACTCCGGTTGGGACGATACTTTCTTAGGTTTATCAAAAATCTTTGCAATTTACATGACGTATGTTTGCTATTAGTAGCACCGAAGTGGCGTCTGGCTGAGTTGAACCACTATCACTACTACAAGTTATGATTTTCATTATTGGCATAGAGTTTTAATACGGCTTAGTTCTTAAGCTTCGAAGTTCTCGGC